TCCATGAATTTATCCAGTTCTCTTTTAAACGCTGTTATAGTCCTAGCCTTCACAACCTCCTCCGGCAAGGAGTTCCACAGGTTGACTATGCGCTGGGTGAAGAAGAACTTCCATCTAAATATGTGTATCATTCATGCATATGTAGTTATGAGAATTGCGTTGTAGGGCTGTCACTAAATATGCTGTGGGTTTGGGAAGTCCCCGGATACTAGCTCTCCAGAGACAACGACAAGGGAGGGTAACCAGTGCCTGGGTGGGGGTTGAACAGACATCACCAGCCATTGTCCAGCAAAGGAGTTACAATTCAACGACTCACTCACAGGAGACACATCGGGGTATTGCCTCACCTTGGGTCTCAGCAACGCCCCCCAGACATGCCTGGACTTGTGTTCTCCAAGCACATGGACTGAGGGTATAAAACAGAACACAGGGGCCCCATGCTTGGCCTTTCTCCTGCCCCCACCTATGCTGCAAGCAACAAGGACGCTCACAAGACTGATGATTTCAACAGAGGAGACTGGCCCAGGTTTAGGAGACGAACGTCTATATTAGGGACTAAGATCCGGGGGGTGAGAACATTGCTTGATGTAGACACTGTCTGGTGTGATCAGGGGTAAGGTTTAGACTGTGTGCTTATATATATAGTATTCTAAGCTCAGTCTACTGGCATGATTAATTTGGTCTTAATTTTGTATCTCACCGTAGTCTTGCCGACCAGCTATTCATTTAAAGGAGTATTTCCTCCTTCATTTAAACACCTGAACAAACATTTGTATGAATGTTATTTTGCATCATTCACCCATGGGGGGGAAAATAACCGAAATCATGAATAATCCAAGGGTGGGAGCCATTTAGAAAGCGACAATAATGGTGGCTTTAATTTACTCAGTGGCTAAATCTTATTCTCTGTGGCACGTACCATGGGGGTCACAAAGAGGTGAGTCACCCTGTTCCTCCAATACTGCTAAATCGGACGGCTATTGTGATTAGCTCACGGCAGAGGCGACACGTGGGTCAAGTAAATACTGTCTAGTGTGATAAGGGTTAAGGTTTAGACGGCGAGCTTATATTTTATTTTATTTTGGTACCCACTCTGACTTTTTGCCTATCACCTAAAATCTATCTTTTGTAGTCAATAAACTTGTTGTACTGTTTATCTTTACCAGTGAGTTTGCCTGATGTGCTGGGTAAATCTGCTCAGGTTTACAAAGGCTGGTGTATATCCACTTCATTGCTTATCTTGAGCAGTGCAAGACGGTATATTCCTGCGGTACAAGTCTGGGAGCTGGGGGGATTTGGCGGGTGCCTTTCTCTGTGTGATTCATGAGTGGCTCTGGGAGCATTCATGCAATAGAGCTGGGTGAGGGATCTCCACATGCGGTTGAACTAAGTGATAACAGCACCTGGAGGGGTTTGCAGCTTGTCATTAGCAAAGTATTATGAGAGACGCCCAGGCGGGAGAGTTCAGGGGGCACAGGGGTCCCAAAGTCCCAGGCTGCACCCCAGGGATCCCGTGACAGGGAGAAAGAGAGAGCCCTTGTCCCACCTCTCTCGCTGCATAGGCTGATACAGGCCATGGAGCCCCCAGCAGTGCCCAGGGGCAGCTCCCCGGTGGGAATCCAAACACCCTCCTCATTGCCAGCAGACGGGCGTGAGGGGATGGGGCATCTCCCCTAAGCCCCTTCGTATCTCACAGCAGCCTCTGGTCAGTGGGCTCTGGCTGCCGCACGGGCAGGCTGGTCATTTCTCCAGCTCTGTCCCAGGGGGCGTTTCCTGTCCCATAAATAGGGCAGTTTCCTCCCACAACCCCCATGAGTCTGTTCCTAGAATCTAAGCCCCAGGTTAAACAAGTCACAGCCTGTCCCCCTGCTTTTCTCCACCCTGTGGATTTCCTGCCCCCTCCCACCTCCAGACTAAACTCCCCAGAAGCTCCCACCTCCTCTGGGTTTACTGCCCCTGTCCGTGCAGAGGGAACCCACCAGCCACTCCCTGACAATGCCTACCTCAGCCAGCTCCCCGGCAGCCGATTCCCTTCCCCGTCCCCTGGGAGGCCGGGCCCATCCGGAGGGAAAGGCGGATGTCGTTCTGCAGCCTGTCAGGGAGAGGAGGGGGATTGGAGAGATTTCAGAACCAGCTTTAGTGACAGTCACAGCACATTCCCCCAGGCTCTTTCCCCGCAGAGAAACGTTCCCGGCTCTGCTACTGGCAAAACACTCAGTCACATTATTGTATTGACCCAGTATGGCCGTTCTTATTGCAGTGCAGACCTGACCCTTCCCACCAGGGCTAACTCCACTGAGACTCTAACTCCCGACATGATCCCTGAGGGTGGGATCTAGGCAGAGGTGGGGACTGGATACAATCTGTCCAGTGCCGAGACAGGAACTGGAGCTGAGCAGGTCTGGGACCTTGCGACCTCTCTCCCCGCTTACTTCTCCTCGGTTTCTCTCTCCCTCCCTCCGGCTGGGGGACTTGGTTACTGCAAAACTATTTCCCCATGCTTATTTTCCCCCCTACTGTTACTCACACCTTCTTGTCAACTGCTGGAAATGGGCCATCCTGATGATCACTACATGTCAAGGCTGCTTCCCCACTTTGAACTTTAGGGTACAAATGTGGGGGCCTGCATGAAAACTTCTAAGCTTAACTACCAGCTTAGATCTGGTCCGCTGCCACCACTCCCAAAGCTAATTCCCTTCCCTGGGTAGCCTTGAGAGACTCTTCACCAATTCCCTGGTGAATACAGATCCAAACCCCTTGGATCTTAAAACAAGGAGAAATTAACCATCCCCCCCTCCTTCCTCCCACCAACTCCTGGTGGATCAAGATCCAACCCCCTTGGATCTAAAAACAAGGAAAAATCAATCCGGTTCTTAAAAAGAAGGCTTTTAATTAAAGAAAAAGGTAAAAATCATCTCTGTAAAATCAGGATGGAAAATAACTTTACAGGGTAATCAAACTTAAAGAGCTCAGAGAACCCCCCTCTAGCCTTAGGTTCAAAGTACAGCAAACAGAGATAAACACTCTAGCAAAAGGTACATTTACAAGTTGAGAAAACAAAGGTAAACTAACACGCCTTGCGTGGCTGTTTACTTACAAGTTTGAAATATGAGAGACTTGTTCAGAAAGATTTGGAGAGCCTGGATTGATGTCTGGTCCCTCTCAGTCCCAAGAGCGAACAACCCCCAAAACAAAGAGCACAAACAAAAGCCTTCCCCCCCGCCCAAGTTTTGAAAGTATCTTGTCCCCTTATTGGTCCTTTGGGTCAGGTGTCAGCCAGGTTACCCGAGCTTCTTAACCCTTTACAGGTAAAAGGATTTTGGAGTCTCTGGCCAGGAGGGATTTTATAGTACTGTACACAGGAGAGCTGTTACCCTTCCCTTTATAGTTATGACACTACAAAATTTTTTTTTCCTCCTGCTGATAATAGCCCACCTTAACTGATCACTCTCGTTATAGTGTGTAGGGTAACACCCATTTTTTCATGTTCTCTGTGTGTATATATATATCTTCCTACTGTATTTTCCACTGCATGCATCCGATGAAGTGGGTTTTAGCCCACGAAAGCTTATGCTCCAATAAATTTGTTAGTCTCTAAGGTGCCACAAGGACGCCTCGTTCTTTTTACTGATACAGACTAACACGGCTGCTACTCTGAAACCTGTCTATTCGTGGAGGCCTTCGCTGTCCTACCAGTGCGAATGCCATTTTGGCTCCAATCTTTGTGCTTCGTCCTCGTCTCTTCTAACCACGGGAGGGGTTTCAGTGTCTCTGGCTGTGACAGACACAGCAGGGACAGGGTCACTGGGCACAGCTGTGAACTGGGAGCTGAATACTGAAAAGATTTTTGAAATGGGGGTTTTAGGGGAATGAATCGTTCCTTGGCTCAGTCCATATCTGGCACAGCAGCTAACTGCTCATTCACAGCAGGTCCATATACACAGAGTAATGCCCTCTTCCCATTCCGACAATGAGTGATCTAGGCCAACGTTTCTCAGGCGTTGGTTTGCTACTGCAGGCGACTCACGACAGGCAGTAAGACGGGCCGTGAGATATTACCAGTTTGTTATGAGCTAAAGCAGCGGTTCTCAAACTGTGGGTCATGACCCCATTTTCATGGGGTCACCAGGGCTGGCTTAGACTTGCTGGGACCAAGCCCCATGGCCCAGGGCTGAAGCCGCAGCCCGGGGGCTTCAGTCCTGGGCGGCGGGGCTCAGGTTACAGGCCCCACCCGGGGCAGTGGGGCTCAGGCTTCGGTCCCCCCACCTGGGGGTCGCGTCATAATTTTTGTTGTCAGAAGGGGGTCACAATGCCATGGATTTTGAGAACCCCTGAAAGCAAAGTCTCACTGTCCCACTTCCTGCCACGTTTATCCTTCCAGGTCAGCGGTTCTCGGTCAGCCTCTTGAGACCCCCTCCGCGTTACAGAGGCTCAGCCTGGAGACACGTTTGATTCTTCCTTTCACAGTCAATGTAAGGGGATCCTCCCTCCCCTCCCCAAAAAAACCCTGACTTCAAATAAGGGGCCACCAATGTGAAAAGTGTGAGACGCACTCGAGCAGCTCCCGTCTCATTCCCAATGATCCCAAATACAATCTAGGGCTCTCCTCCCCTTCACAGCCAGTCTGTACACGGGAGACCAGCCCCATCTCCACCCCCTCCTCGCTCCTGAGACCCTGCTGCCCGACATGGCCATGTTCAGTCACTCATTAAAGCTGTCAGACTGTTCAGTGTGTGGATGTTTCATTCTTGTCTCACCTATTTCACACCTTTCCGGGTGTTGTTCCCTTTCCCCAAAGGGAAACACCCCCCCGAGATCCGGATTCACTCTGAATCCCCATCAGACGTCACAGCAGGAGTGAGTCAGTCACGGGGGTCACCCGGCTTCACACTGTTCCACCATTTCCAGCTGCACGTCGGGGCTGGAGGCAGCGTCCCCCTGTTGCTAACATGGTTATGGGTCTGAAATCTCCCCACGGCCCGTCAGAGACAGGCACGTACCTGTGTCGCTCCCCAGCTCCAGTCGCAGCGTCTCTAGGGGAAGGAGAGGACGGGAGAGGTGAGAATTCAGGGGAGGTTCCCCTTGATTATTAATGTAACTGCTGTTAACTACGAGATGGTGACAGAGATCAGAGGCCGATAACGCAGCCGCTGCAGACAGAGCCAGCCCCACAGGGCTACTCCATGGGGAAGGGCGACTCGCTGAGCTGGGCTGTGAGATGGAGCCCGGGGTCAGTGACATCACTAGAGTCCCTGACTCCTCCCCAGGGCCAGGGTTGCTCTCACCAGAGGAGACGCCACCCCCAGACTCCCATTCACCTTTGAATCCCAGCAGCACCTCCTGCAGGTGGGCGCTTTGCAGAGAGAAATCGCCGAGTCTCTTCTCCAGCTCCGCAAACCCCGGCTCCGGCTTCGGAAACGCCCCGTCCTCCCTGCTGGGGAAAGGAGGAGGGGTGAGAGATGGGCCTGATCCCCCGACCCTGAGCCCAGCAGCCCCCCAAACTCCAGCAAACCTGGGTCTGAGCTTTGTAGCCTGAGGTGATCACGGTTAGAGTGAGTCGCCTGCCCTCAGCCCTGTGCTCTCCACGGAGACGGGACACCAGGAACGGAGACCGGTTCAGGGGCTTTCTCTGGGACACTGGTTCTGTGGGGTGCAGAGCCACCCCCTGCGCTAGGTTACCCCGGGAACAAGGGGCACCGGCGCTGGGGTTACCGGGAAAGGAAGGAGACATGGACCAAAGACTGGACGTGTGTCTCAGGCTCACGGTGGCCCCAGACAGAGCCCCCTTTAATGCCAAAAGCCCAGAGCCCGTCTGCTGAAGCCGTAAGCCCGGGGTGTCCGACGCATTTTTCAGAGAGGGACGTATTCCACGGTCCGTGACGGTCAGTGGGCCAGGCCGTCGATTTCGGACTCCCTACGTGGCTCCATTCAGAACTGGGCACCCAATGCTCTGAGTGGGACACCCAGGCACAAATACCAAGGGGAGAGTCTGCCCTTCGGAGAGGAAATAACCTTTTAGTTACCTGCATTTATTAAATCCTTTATTGTCACCGTCTGTATCACTCCGTGGGAAAATAGCCGTCCCGCATCTGCTAGGGCTCCTGCTTTCCCCATCCTTCCACCCTCATTTCTCTATTTCTCTCTCTCCACTGTCTTCACGTCTCTCCTCTGTTCTCCCCACCCTACAGAAACTCCCTTTTCCCACCCCTCCCTCCAGGGCCCCACTCCCACCCCGTCCCCATCCCCCCAGTGACCAGCCATGGCATATTGAACGTTGACATTAAAGCGTCGTTATTTCAGCGGACGCGCCAATGAGATGAACGGAGGACAGGGGAGTTCACACCCGTCTCAACCACGGCTTCCGGCCGCTGGCAGACACAGAGAGACAACAGCGTCCCCGTGTGCATCTGGGAGGGTTTTTTTTTTCCCAACCATGAGGCTTAGAAACTTACGATAACACGGAAAGCTGAGATTCTGCACACTGGGAATACGTGAGGTGGCCACATAAATACGCCAGACAGGCCGGGTCTGGCCCATGTGTCTGACCCCCCTCATTAGCTGTCGGAGAGAAACAGGCTCTGCCCCATGGCGAGGCAGCCGCTAGGGGAGACGTGATCACAGGCACCGAGCCGGCGTGTCGCACTGCTCCCTATTTAGTGCAGTTTCCAAGTGTAAGTGAGCACGAGGGGCCGTGAAAATGGAGCCGGGGACTCACCTGCTCCCAGGGCTCCCGGCAGCCTGGAGAGGGAGAGAAAGGAAAGGCCATCAGGGGGGCGTCCCAGGCAGGGGAGCCACCATTGGAGCCTGGCGTTTGGGGCATTTCAGACACTCGGGATCATGTTCAGAGAGCAGCTGCCGCCCCCCAGGAACCCTGCTGGGACGTCGCCATCGGGGGAAAGTTTCTGCCCTGGCACTTTACAGGAAGAAAATATTCATCTGCCTTGAGAGTGAACTTCCCATGAGTGCTGAGAGCCCCACAAGCCCCCTACCCCATTACACCCATTCACTGGGGAGACGAGGGGCCTCAGGCCTGGCTCGGGGCCTCAGCATGGCAGGGACGGGGTGTCACCCTCAGCCCAAATGCAGTTAGACATTGGCAGGGCATTTACTGTGGGCTCTGCCCCTCCCTCTGCCTCACTTTCCCCATTTGTCCCATAGGGATGTTGCCCCGGCCCCCCTTTGTAAAGTGCTTTGGGGTCCGGGGCTGAGATGCTCGCATAGAAACGCTGCGTAGGATCATTGCAAGGACAGTCTGACCTGCAGGGACTGGCTTGGCGGCCGCTGCCCCTCGTCTCCTCCCCTCTCGCTGAGCAGGGAAATCCC